TGCATCCAAACAGCAGATGCAAATACACCAACAAATACAAGTTTCAGGTATATTACCATGCTTTGGGCACTACCACCCAGTTACATCTTTCTGTTTCAGTGCAGTACAAGCCAGACAGCAGTACCCATGAGCCCTACCAGCTGTGAAGGAAAAAAAAAAAAAGATACTGATATTGCTCAACTCTCATTCCTGTTAGTTAATTCATGGAGACGTTATTTTGCTGAATGCCACGGGACAAACTTTCATAATAAATAAAAAGAAAATACATCCAAGGTAAAACATAGCTGTTGATATGTATCAGCTCTGGAAATTAAGATATACTGAGAATAAAAACTATTATTTTCAGTTTTGATGTTGTCTGCACGGCATGTGTGCCTTCCTGTAATCCTGTCAATTTATTTCCCATGCATATAATGCCTTTACTGGTGTGGATTCCCAGATCTCCTTTGAGCAGTAAGTAATTTTCTTTCTTTCATAAACAGAGGGGATAAACATGGGGTTCAGAGAGGGATCTGTCTTGTCAAATGTTATATAGGAATGCTGTGGCACAGATCATCTAGATCCCAGGTTTTCTGCTTGTTTCTGATACAAAATCAACCTCCTCAGTGTGGCTTTAATTTAGATTAGGAACATTTTTCAATGTAGAGAAGAGCAAACTATATTTTTCCTTTGTGTATATTCCTCAGTTCCTTTTCTGTAACATTGCCACTGTATCTCAAAAATAACATTTTTTAAAAGAAAGATAATACGATTGAAAATGTTTTACATATATAACCATGGTTTCCTGATTTCTTATTCAAAATTTTATAGCATATATAAAGGAAAATGGATTAAAACTTTCTTCCTTTCTCTGTTTCTTCCTCCCTCCCTCCCTTCTTTCCTTCTTTCCCTCTCTCTCCCACAATATAGAAAGTACTAGTAACTGTGACTATTTTAATATAGGCTAGTATGTGACTAGTACATTCATGAATTGAGGTTAATGTCCTCTACCTTCAATTGCATTATTTGCAGACCATCCACAGTTAATTGCTCGTTTTTCGCAATAGCGACTGGAATTTCCTCTCCAGGGTCACGAAGGTGCCTGTTCTTGAATCTGCCATTTCCCAGTTGTGAAGACCGCCAAAAAAAAAATGCAGAAGGGTCAGTAACTTTTAGATAAAATGATGCATAGAAGCAAACTGAAAGGCAGAACTAAAATCCAAATCTGCAAACTCCGTTTCAATATTCAAATACACTTACGCTGCCAGGAGGAGAATCCTTCTCAGCAAAGCCTTCTGAAAAACTGCCCGGCATTTCCTTTTTATTTTGTAAACATTTAGTTACAGTACAAAATTGACTTAACTATATAATGAGAAAAGCAGTTATTTCAAGTATTACACTGAGGATAAAATGCATGTTAACATGAATGCTATCTATTACTACTTTGTAAACGGAAGTTTATTTATCCTTTGAGAAAAAAACATTTCAGAACTAAGCTAAGGTAACTCCATGCATTAAATAAACAAATCAAATCAAACACTAATTGGGCTTGGAGCTTCAAAACAGAAAATATGAAAGTTAAGCTAAATACATTAAACAGAAAAAATAAATCTCATTTAATGAGTAATATTTTGTCAGATTCTCTGTGTAGTCATAAATTCAGAGAAATTTAGCATGTAGATGAGAAATAAGCAGGAGGAAAGCAGGCTGATGAACTGCAGTGGAAAAGCAATCGTCAGTTAATTCAGGATGTGTTCTGCCTAACATTGATGAAGATCTAAATGAGAGGTCTTTAAATTGTATGTGTAGAACCAAGTCCTGGTGTGATTCACATTCTAACTTCAGATCTCATACACTCCGCTAAAATAGATAAAGCTTGGTTAGGATAGCAAAGGAAGCTCAATTTGGTTCCCTGGCTTTTTCAGAAATTTTGGTCAGGGTGCCAGAGTTAGGCAGCAATGCTTTGTAAAGTCTAATGTTAACAAGCAGACTCCCTTGTTTGCCTTTCCTTCATGCCTGAAAAATAAAACACAGTGCAACCAGCAATAGGATAAAAATGCCAACTGTGGAACTGACAGCCAAGAAAATACAGTAAAATGATTTGCCGTTGCCTGCTTAGTTTTTATGAAAGTATCACAGAATGGTTTGTGTTGGAAGGGACCTTTGAAGATCATCTACTTCATGTTGGAATCATTTCAATCGTGAACTAATTGCACTGTTTTCTGGTCTGCTGTACTAATAACAAATATCATACTCTGCAGCATTACAAAATAAACCTGTAGCCTCCCCTTCTGTTTCCATAACATCAGTAGAAGAGCAACTCTTCTGATATCCTGATGGGTATCTCTGGAAGAACGGGTTGAAGATAGGCGCTCCTATTTACTTCAGGGGCTTTGAAAGGAATTGAGAATACTTTTCCACTTCAAGAACTGTGCCAATCATGAGCAAAACTTCATGCGCTAATTCTCAGTGCAAAGCTGCTTCAGTGGCTCTCAGAAGCATATGCAAAATTAAACATTGCAAGATGGTCTGAGCTACTGCTTCCCTGGGAAGAGGGAGGAAAGAACAAAAACAGAAAGGTGATGCAGGGAGGGAAGAGTCTGCAGAATTGGGCTGCGATGGCTGTCCTGGGACAGGCGAGGTGCAGCATCATGGTAGTACCTGCTACCCCACACAACTAGACTGTTTTCTTGTGACAGCAGCTGTATGCAGTCCAGCCTCCCCAGGTCCCAGAATAAGCAAAATTTGAAGCAGAACATTGCTGTTTTGGCAGTCAGGGAAGTCCGCAGCTTTAGGAGCCGTCGCTGTTCTCTAAGACTAGAATAAGACTGGCCTCACCCATTTAAATAAATCAGTCATTTGATGAAGTACATATGGCTGATTTTAATCATAAAGTCTAAGAAACAGGCCATTTGGTCAGTCCTGAATGCCATCAAATGCAGAGCTTGGTGATTTTTGCAAAGGGAAGGATGTCCGCAGGAGACCTATTGCTGGACACGTGCTATGGCCAGGGCCAAAGATGTGTTGTAGGTGGGAGGTTGGTGTGCTTTCCCAGTCAGCCTCATGGGTTACGAGCAAGATGTAGATCACGGAGAGCTTTATATTTACACTGAAAAGCAACTAGAAGGCAAGGTAGTGGATAATGCATTCCAGCGTGACAAGCAGACTCCTTTGCAAAGCGGTATAAACTGCATTTCCGTACACAATCTATTTTGGTAATACTGGCATGAGGATTTACTTTGCTTACATGTTGACTAGAAGTTCAGTCCTGCACGGGGAGCTGCAGGCAGTGTTTGCTAGTATGTAGAGCACCTCTTTGGCATTTGGTGAGAAGAAAAATTGTGCAATCATTCTGTCCCACATCCCCTGCTACATTTTGCAGACCTTGGGCACATTTTGGCATCACTGTACAAGAGCCCAGCAGATGAGTTGTGGAGGGCTCCAAATTTCACAGTAATACTTGCCCTAGACGCTGATTGCTGCAAGATAGTCAAGTATTTTTGCTGACCAGAGCACTATCAATTCTTGCACAATAACTGCTTCTGCGTACAGTAATGGAGAAAGATAATAAAAATTTGCAAAGTATGTCACACTTCCTACTTGAAAATGTTGCACTTGAGTCATTTATGCAGGTTACTTTTGTTCAAGTCTTTACAGTTCCATTTATTCCTGCTATAAAGCTACTTCAGGATAAAAGCAGCATAAATGGAGGGTCAGATGGCCTCTCGGTTTTGAACATCACGTCCTCTTCTCAGTAAGTGGCAATGGGCTCTGCGCTCATCCTCACCCGGAGTTTCCAGAGGCACCCAAGAGAGAACACTAAAATGTACCTTTGCTACCTTTCACAAACCCGTTTTTCATTTAAAATTCAGCAAAAAAGGCAATTTACTGTGAGCTGAGTATGCAGCCCGTACTTCTCATTTTGGTGAGCCTGTACCAGCAACGACCCAGTAGGGGAAATAAAGAAAACTGGTTGCGCCACGCAGCGTGGCCCATCCTGTCCCCCAGCGCCCGTTGGGTGGGCATCTATCTCGCAGCAGCACAGATGGAGAAGCCAGGGCTTTTGTTTTGTTTTGTTTTGTTTTTTTTTGTCTACCCCGCTGAACTCGGGAGAAAGCCTAGAGCCTTTGTTCTGCCTCCGGCAAGACCCCGAGACCTCCGACACCTCAGTCCTCCTGCTCACGGTGGCCGCGACCGACTGCCGGGTTCACCCCGGGGGTGCCGCTGAGCAGGAGGGCGACGCGCAAAATTTCCACGGGTGTAGAAGCCGCGTTCCCAAGCTCGCAGCGCGCACAGGCGGGCGCTTGCCGGTGCCCCCCCAGAGCCTGACCCTGCGCCCACCTCCCGCGCCCACCCGCGAGGCCGGTCCACAGGCCTGCCCTTCGCTTTTGCACCTTCGCGCCCGGCCGCGCCGCCCGCACGGTGGCCGCGGGGGGAGGCTTCGGCCAGGCCGGGAGCGGAGCACAGCGGGGTGCGCGGGGGCCGCCCTGCCCTGGGGATGGGGGTGTCCCCACGAGGGACCGGGGGAGGCGCGGAGAGGCGGCCGCTGCCCCGGCCGGTGGCCCGGCGAGGGGTCCCCCCTGAAGCGAGGCGGGTCTCGCTCCCCCCGCTCCGCGGTGAAGGGGCCGCCCCCAGCCCCGACCTCCCCCCCCCCCCCCCCCCGCCCCAGCCCCAGCCCGGCGGCCGAGGTGGGCTGCCGCGCCGCCACCGCCCCCCGTCCGCGGCGAGGCGGGCCGGCGGGGCCGGGGGGCGGAGGTGGGGAGCGGCGGCGCACGGCGGCGAGGTGGCTCGGCAGCCCTCCCGGAGGAGCCCGGCCCACCTCTCCCGTACAGGCAACCCCCTCCTCCCCGCCCCGAAAGAGGAACTCCCCGCCCGCGCCCAGCCCGGCCGCGGCGGAGGGAGAAGCGGCGGCGGCGGCGGCGGCGGCGGCAGCGCGCCCGGCCCCTCCGCGCAGCATGGCGCAGCAGCGCCCGCCGCCCGCCGCCGCCTGAGGCGCCCCGCGGCGCCGAGCCGAGCCCGCGCCCATGGCGGCGCCGCCGCCCGCCCTCAGCTGGGCGCTGCCCCTGCTGGCGGCGCTGGCGGGCGCCGGCGGCCCCCAGAGCTTCGAGCTGCCGGGGGCCCCCATCGACAACATCGAGGTGAGCGGCGGCGGCGTGCTGGTGGCGGGCGGCAGCTGCCTCTACGAGCTGCGGCCCGAGCTGCGGCCGCGCCGCCGCGTCGTGCCGGCGGCGGCCGGGCAGGGCTGCGGGGAGCCCCCCGGCGTGCGCAGCAACCTGCTGCTGCCCTACGAGGAGGCCCGGGGGGAGGGCGTCCTGCTGGCGGGCTGGACCCAGAAGGACGGCACCTGCGAGGTGTGGGAGCAGCCGGCCTACCGGCAGCGCTTCAACCGCAGCGAGGTGGTCAGCTGCCTGCCCGACGGCTCCACCGCCGGCGTCGTCTTCCAGCTGGCCGGCGCCTGGTACCTGGCCGTGGCGGCCACCTACTCGGCCCACCCCTACAAGAACAACCTGGGCTGCGAGCCCTCCCAGTCGGACGAGGCGACCGTCATCACGGTGCGCAGCATGGACAACCTGGAGTCCAAGGAGGAGCTGGGCATCATCAAGCGCAAGGACGAGCCTTTGCACTTTGTTGACGCGCTCCGGTGGGAGGATCACCTCTTCTTTCCCTACTACAGGTTGAAGGCCAGCTTGGGCAATGACACGGAGCCGCCGAGCATGGCTGTCCTGCGCCAGCTGCGCCCCTCAGAAGGTGGCCTTACTTTGAAAGGGCACGTGTATTTGAACTGCGGGTGCAGGAGCCTCATCGTTTCCTCCAGCCTCATCCGCCAGGGCGAGCGGGGCTGGTGGGTGGGTGTTTTCCACCACAGACGCAGTGCCAAGGCCTGGAACACCACCGCCGTCTGCATCTTTGGGATGGAGGAGATGAAGGAGCAAGCCTGTGCGTCCACGCACTTCGTCATGAACGGGAAGAGCTGTGTAAGTCTGGACATCGTTTTGCTAAGCTTTCCTCCTGCACGCCGTTGTTGACACTGTTGTTGTTGTGGCTGGTGTCGCTGTGCATGACTCGTGGGATGTCCCTGACCTGAAGGCACATGAAGTTCACAGGGAACTTCAGAGCCTTGCGGGGCTTTGTGCACCAGCCCTGGCTTCATCAGCCTTAATGATTTCTCCAGCGCTTTCTGTTTCTAAAAAGCTGACCCCTTCCTGCAGTGTCCTTCTCACCTACCTCTCGGGAAAGACATGTCCAAGGGAACAACTCCTGAGGGCATCCTGAGTCAGGCTTGAGTCTCAGACTCCTCACTCTGTGAGCCCTTTTCTGCCAAGGATTAGTCGTACTTCGTTGTGTGTTCCATACAGCCTAGATAAAGCATCTCGTACCTTATTCTGTGCATTCACATCGCATGTCATTGCAGCTACATCAGACATGAAAAAAGCCCATCAAATTGACTCCTGTGCACTGGGCTGTGTGTGTGGTTATACCCCTTGCTTACTAGTTATTTATGGTTGCTTGTTCAGCGGTAGGTGTTTCCCAAACCTCCCAGGATTGGCCTTCCTTGAGAGGGCTCACAGCCACCCCCCCAAACCCATATGTGCAGCAGACAGCAATATGTTTTTGTTGTTGCAGTGGTTACATTTTCACAGGCAGTGGTATCCCATGGAGATCCCCTGGTCACCTACTTCTGCAACACTTTTCAGCTCCTTCCTCCTGAGGGTGAGCTGGGCACATGGATGGCAGAATGGGCAAGGCTACCAGCATTGCTGTGGCCTTGGTAGCTAATAAAGAAATGAACTAAAAATGGAATTCAAGAAGCTAAAAATGTAATTCAGGCGAAGAAGGTGCTTTTGCAAGGCCCATCCATGCTTTCGGGTCACTCCCAAGAAGTCTTTTCAGTGCTGTGGCAAAAGCAACAACACTGAAAAGTATCAGGGAGAACTGGGGGGGATCAAGCAAGCCCTGGCCTTCTGCAGTTCCCCCACCATGCATGGACTTTGCACTTTAACCCCTGGCTCCTTGCTGTGTTACGATGGGGGTTTGTTGGTAACTCCTTGTAAGAAGTATGGTAGATTTACTGTCGCTCCTTGGCTTCCCAAATCTAGCCCGTAGCAGAGCGCAGTGCCGAGATTCTTCCAAATACAAACTACCAGAGGGCATGTCTGATTCAATCTGCTCATCTCCCTACTGAGCTGTGAGACTATTGCCAGTGTTAGAGGACATAGTTACGAATGAGAACCCCACATGTGGGTGAAACAACTGTGCTGAAGTAAATAGTGAAACTCTTGCAACAGAGCCAGAGCCAATCCTTTGATTTCCAGTGCCAGTTTATAGCTTACTGCATGATTTCTGTGCTCTCAGAAGGCAAACGCTGAATGAAGTTTCATCCTCATCCCAAAATACCTATTTACTAGTTGGATTTTTAATTTGTATTCTTTGTTCCTAATTATTCGTGGAGTTTCTTTGCGAGGTGCTTTCTGAGCCTGCAAAAAAAACCCCACAAAACCTCCCTGGGCAGCAGATCCTTTATAAACACTTTCCAAAGTCCCATGCTAGAAATTCCAGGAGAGTCTTGTGGATTTCATAGAATAACATAATGTAGGTAAAGTGAGGCGTGTATTTCTGTCTGACTGCTGTGCCTCTCAGTCCCCTGTCCCGTTGCCTCCCAGTGCCTGAATATGAAAAATCTACGATCCACTTGTTTAAGGGTTGGTCATATTCAGATCAGATTCCTGTGACTCCAGAGTTACTTTCATGTCCCAAAAGGCTCAGCCCTCCTGGAAATGTACATTACATTATATTTGGGTACAATGCTGAAGAATCCCAACTGTAAAAATTATTAAAAGGATTATGTTCTTAACATTATGTCCCTAACAATGGTGATGTTATTAATCATGATATTTTTGTACAATAAATGCAGTTTATCACTGATAGGAAATTGATATTTTAATATTTTTTGAGATAACAGGACATCTGGACGTTGTTTAATAATATGACCCATAACATTACATGGCTAATTAGGCTCCCTTTTTAAGCTAATTATATGTGCTTATGGTATATAAACATAGAAATAAATGCTTGTAGTTCAGCTTTTTTTTTTTTTTTTTTTATACTACAGAAGGTTAGGCTATGCTGTTGCAGAGTAAGTTTGGAGATGACAGGCCCATATGCTGCTGCTTCTGGGTTGTTTTAGACCAGATCCTTCTACTGTCTCTCACCAAATCATGGGAGTCCCTACAAACGTGGAACATTCTCTTCTTGGGCTCTGGAGCACACGGGCTTCAGAACTGGCAGGAAGATGGTGCGCAGTGCGTCCCCCAGTGTGCATGCAGCTTGTAGGAGAAATGTGTGCAATAGCTAGCAGTGGCTCTGGCCTGAAAGGAGTGCCTCGTAGCATGGAGCTGTCACGAGTACATTGTAGTACAGTGTGTAGGAATGGCAGCAAGTAACAGTACTTAGCGTGTGCTTTAAAGTCCAGTCTTTTAAAGACAATATTGGTACTGAGCAGATGAATGTGTTGCAGCATTATGATTGCCAGGAGTGCAAGACCTGTGCGGTGTTTGTGGTGGGTGGACCGTGCTGAATGTCAGCCTGACTTTTGCATTGCAGGTGCCGTGTGTGGTGGGGTACTGTGGGTCTTAGTCTTCTTTGCTGAGTAGACTTCGATTCTGGAGCTCAGGCATGTTGTGATGAGGTGCACAGATCATGGACACAGACTGTCAGTTTATATAGGAATTGGAAATACAGTATTTTTTCACTGCAGGAATACAATTTAGAGTATACGTTAGGGAGTAGTGGCAGTTTGTTTTCCTTCTGATCTTGTCATTCTTCAGATTTCTGTAATTATTCTGATTACCTTTAGGCAAGACATCCTCTTACCTGTCTGTACTCACACAGCTGCTTGTATTTGCACTGTGTTGGCACTGTACTTCTCAATAGTACTCTGCAAGAGGGACTTAGCCCAAGGTATTTGTGGTCCTGAGTTCCCTGCTATGCTGCTGCTGCATGTTCTACTCTGAGCTCATTCCTGTAAGATACCGAGCTTTCTGGCCCTAACCCAGTAAAGCACTTAAGGGCATATTTAACATTAGGCATATAAGTAGTTCCATCATCTTCATGCCCATGCATTTAAAGTTAAGCATGAACTTGAGTACTTCACTGGATTGGAACCAAATTGCTCTGCATCCTGTAGGAACTCATTGTAAGTGTGTAATCTCTTTAGCCTCACATTGCTACTTAGGCCAAAGTTGACATTTGCATTAAGTTTTAATGCTGGATTTGAGTCTATCATTGAAAATAAGTGATTTTTAAGACCCTTGCTTATCAACTTTATCAAAAAGTATGTGACTGCTACAAATTCTGTGAAATTGCTGGTTATGAGAACTACCTAGTTCTGGTTTCATTTTGTGCAGTAGTGTGCACAAAGCATTTTGTCCTAGTTGGATGTGTTTATTCTGGATGTATATAATGTTGGATTATCAGAGACATGATCCCTAACTAGAAAGAGGCAAGTGGTGTCTCAGATAAAACTACTCTGAAAACATCTTGCAGTGTTGTATTCAGCTTGTTGTCCTCTGATCCACATGTCCCTTAGTTTTGATTATATCTACTTATATGCATTTTTGAGGCGCATGCCTTAAAGGACTTGTCAGCATAACCTGCATGTACGTAAGCACATCTTCTTCACAATTTCCTTAGTTAATAACTGTGAATTTGCCAGATCTCATTCTCCTTTTCAGAAACCTGACTGAGTACTAATAAACATTTTTGGTGGATCACACTTATGAAATCAAAGCTCCTTAGCCAGCACATAGGCGTAATGCTGAAATTTGCCACAAACTTGTTCCAGTAGCTAGTGAGCTTTAAGACAGCCTTTACTTCTATTGTTTCATGGCTAAACAGGAGCTACTAGAATCTCAGATCTCTCCCAGAGATCCCAGGATCTCGCGGATCACAGCCAAGCAGATGACTGGAGTAGTGCTCAAATTAGAGAACATCAGTAGGAGAGAGTTGTAGGATGTTACCTAACCACAGTGACAAATCTGGGAATCAGGTTTGCCATTAAAAAAAGTTGCATGGGGAGAAAAGTATTCTACAATTTTGGGGGAATAAAATCAAAAGTAGTTTTAGGCCTGTACCTGTAGGACAAAGAGAATTTGCTGTCATTTATACTGAAGTGTTTATTTTATTATGTGCAAAGGCTAAGTAGGTGTGATAGCTACTGAACGCTAAGCTATCTTGGTTGGACTTTCATCTGCTATTTAATGCAAGTAAAGATATATAACAGTCTGTTCTTTGAATTTTTGAATTTTTCAGTGGGTGATAAATATGTGGGTTGGTATATGCCCCTTAATTTATTGAGCATAGTTTGGAATCCCAGGACAAACTTTAGCTGGTATAAGCTCTACTGAAATGAGATTTTGAAGTCAACAGAGTCACATCAGTTTAATCACGGCCATTAGTTTTCAGGAATGACATTTGAATTTGTGTGGTAACTAATTCCAAAATGATTCATGGTCTTCTATTTAAGGAAAGAATTACAGACTTCTAAATATCATTTGGTATCAAAATTGATCCTGTAATTAATTTTCAAGTAGTAAAGTCATCTCCTGTGTATTGCCAGACCGCCAATATTTCATCTGGTGTTCGCCAGATTTCTAGAGTGAGTATTTCTGTCTGGTTACAATGAACTCCTGTTTGGTGTGGGAAGTAGGCTATAGGACACTTGTAAACTCTTACATCGTCAGTAAGAAGAGTTGCTTTTAGTCACCTGGCTTCACCAATTGTTCTTAGTAGAAACTTTTGAGAGCCTGGGGGCTCTTGAACAGAGGATTCTCTTCCCTGGGATCACAGAATCGTTCAGGTTGGAAGGAACCTCAGAGGAGGTCTCCAGTCCAGCCCCCTGCTCATAGCAGGCTCAGCTCTGTGATAAGACAAGGTTACTCTGGGCTTTGTCTTGTCAGATCTTGAAACCTACAGGGAT